GCAACGGCAAAGCTAACGAACTTCAAACAATGAGCAAGCACTGTAACAATGAGTTGCTATCGAAAAGCAGACTATCGCGTAACACGCACCGATAAAAAAAAACACACAGCTGTTTGTACCGACTGCTAAGAGCGAACTGTCTTCAATAAAGTTCTCTAGACATCCCTGAATTCCTCAGAACTTTTTAAAGTTCCCACAATTTTACTGAAGTTAATTGAACTGCCTTGACATTTTTCGGTCCATGTTGGGTCTCCCGATTTTATTGGATAAATCCATAGGCTCTAATGTTGACCTATGGATCTAACATTGGGCCCAACGTAAAAAATTTGCAATTTTATCAAGATGAATGGATACTAATGGATATTTTTGGTCGCAATTGAAAATTTAGTCTATTGCTGAATTTGTGCATGGGCCCAAATTAGGGGCATTTAGGCCGACATTACACCCATTTCCCCTATACTTCCTTTAAAACTCTATAAAATTAGCTGAGCTTCTTTGGACTTGTCTGAAGATTTCATTCCTATATTGTCAAGATTTTATATGAACTACTCTGAAGACCCCACAGTCCTCATGAAGCTTTTCGAACATTTCTGAAATTCTCGGTACTTCTAGAATGTTCCTGCAATTAATCATCAGAATACTCGAACTCCCCTGAAAATTATTAAACGGCAGTTCTCCGGACTAACCTGAAATTTCGGGTACTTCTTACAGTTTCTCCAAATTTTCCTGAAGCTCATGGTGCTGTCCTAAATTTATAGAACTTTACATTTACAGATGTTGGTACTACTTAGTATTCTCTCTCAAAAACTTGAGATCTCTGAGCATCCCTGGAGATCTCTAGAGCTAGCTTTCTTGAAAGTTTCCACAACTCTCCCAAAGTTCTGCAGACTTCTCCTCAGATGATTTTTTGACATCTCTGAAGTTTTCTGGATATCCCTGAAGTCATAGAATGTCATAAAAGTTATTGCAGTTTCCTTGAAGCTGATAGCTCCACCTTGAAGTTGAAACTGATGTACCCAAAAAAAATCAGAAGTACCCTTATTATCCCGCAGTCTGTTCATGTTCTTCGGTATTTTCATTCATTTCTCGAACCCTCTTATTACAACTTTTGTGAACCTTCTTTAAGTTCTCTTATCTTTCCTGGAGTTCTCGCTACTCTTCTGATCATATTCCTGGAATTGCACTGAAATTATTAAAACTGCCCTAAAGGTCTTTAAGCTTCCCGACGCACAGTGGGACGAAATCAAAAATAGTGGGACATGGCTATTTGATACGAAACTATTGAGTGTAGCATTTTGATGTCTTTTAGAATGTTACTTCATTTTTTGAGTACTTTAATTGAGAAGTAAACATTTTTGATTAAGGGGGGTATACACTAAGATAAAACAAAATACTTTTTAAGTCTTGTTGAAATTGATGAACATCTATAGAAACATTGTAGATGAAGTTGTTTCAAGAAACTTTGACGAAAACGTCAATTTTTTTATCTGTCAAGTGGACGAAGTTATAGGGTAAAAATGGAGTACTAAAGCTAGTACCCCCTTAAAAACCTTTTTTACCATAACTTTTTAGTTTGAATTTTTCATTTTTTTCAATGTTCTACAAAGTTGTTAGTTCTCTAAAAATGCACATTTTTGCTCAATGAAACAAATCGCTATCTCTTCATGTAAAGGATTTACATACGTATTTATAATTTGTCAACACTAACTAACAGCGACGAAATTTCGTTCATTAACTTATACCCTACTGTTACATATACAATTCATAGGGGAATCCAAGGGGATGCCTAATGAATTATCTAAAAAATACCTCAATGTTTTGTTACGTTTGGCTGTTTTCATGACCATTTTTCAAAGTATGTACATTAGAGTGGGTTGTAGCTTCGACAAAGTTGTTTGGTATAGTGTTCTTAATCTAAGTCCGAGGTTTGGTAAAACTTGAGCAATGTTTGGATTTTTGGTAAGCAAATGAATAGGATCGTTCCGTTGACCATACAAAATTTAAAATTCTCCCGCATATCGAGATTATAACTAATTTGGTTCAAATTTTGCCCAGTTTTTGGGGACCAGAATAAGCATTGTAAGAGTAGTGGGAAACTCCACTTGGAAAGATGTTAATGAAAACAAAAAAACAGAGGTCCTTTTAAGAAAATTCAATGGGCATCCGCTTGGATCCCCATATGAATTTTATATGTAACAGTAAGCTAGAAGATGCTGAACAAAATAACGTTGAGATTAGCTGCCAATACCTGCTAACATGCAAGATGCACCCCTTTACATATATCATAAAAAATATAAAAAGGGACTCAAATCCTTAAAGCAAAGAGATAGCGATTTGATTTTTGCAGCAAAAATGTGTAGTTTTAAATCACTTACTACTTTGTTAAACATTGAAAAAATTGTAAAATTCATACTAAAAAGTTATGATAAAAAAACCGGTTTTTAAGGGGGTCCTACCGTTTGTACTCCATTTTAACCCTATAGCTTCGTCCACTTGAGAGATGGAAAATCGACGTCTTGGACAAAGTTCCTTAAAATGATCTCATCTACAATGTTCCTATGGATAATCATCAATTTCAACAAGACATAAAAAAGTTATTTTTTTTATCTTAGTGTATAGCCCCCTTTAGCTAAAGATTTAGCCACTGCAATAAAGTATTTAAAACTTGAAGAAACATTCTAGAAGACATCAAAATGCTACACTCAATAGTTTCGTCCCAAATTGCCATGTCCATCTGTGCGACGTTGTCTGAATCTCCGTGAATTTCTCGCAACTTCAGTGAAGCTTTCAAAATTTTTCACAAGTTCCCTAAACTTTCTTGGTGCTTGAGGTTCTCGAAATTTACCTGTAGCTCTTGGATCTTTGCTAAATATCCCGCAATTTCCCTGATAATCACTGCTGGATGCTACGTAACTCCCATTAAGATCTTTAAACTCAACTTAAGTTGTGGCATATTCTGTTCTGTGTTTCTGTAACTTTCCTGAAGCTAATGGAACTGCCCTGTGACTCTTTAATTTTCATTAAATTTTTATATTTTTTTCTGAAATCTAACGAACAGCCCTGAAGCTATCGGAACTAATCTGAACTTGCTCATAGTTCTCGACGTTCTTGAAATTTTTGGGATTACCCTCAAGGTTTCGAAACTTACCTTAAATTCTTAGAAAATTCAAGAAATTCTCATTTTTCCTGATGTTAGTGCGACTAACATAAAGTTTTCTAAATTTTCCTAAAGCTCTCGGAACCTCATTAAGAATCCCGAACATTTGTAAAATTCCCGCATTTTATTCGGAAGTTAATTGAACGATCCTTAAGTTTTAAATTTTTTCGAAGTTTTCGGAAGTTCCTCAAAGTTCCATTAATTCAAAAGTTCCTAAAATTTTTATTAAGTTAATGAGAATGTCGCAAAGTTCTCTGTTCTTCATCTCAGTTTACGAAATTTTCCTGAAGTTCATTTAACTGCCCTACAGTTTTCGGAATTTTCCCTTAGTTCTGAACTTTTTTTAGTACTCGGAACTTACCTGTTACCTTGTTAATATTTCTCTGAATGTTTTGGATATTCCCTAAAGTTCATGGAACACCCCTAAAGATTTCGAAGTTGCTCTTATAATCTCCTAATGCCCTGATTTTTTTTTCTGGACTTCCCTAAATTTCTTAGAATTTCTTTTAAATTCCTGAAATTTTCCTGAAATTTTTAAACTGTCCTGAAGATCCACGTAAAAAACATTTGCAACCGACCAACTGTTTTTTTTTTTTTTTAATTATGATTAGAGGTGCTGCAATAATGTTTACTCTTTGATAGTGCCTAGTGTAAATTGACATTATAAAATTCCTTAATTCCTTTGGAAATGCAGGTACCTGTGATCACAAGAGCTTATATTTTCGCATCTGGAAAATGATTGTTGAGACTAATTAAGTAACATATCAAAAATTGATCTTCTTTCTTTGACATTTAGAGGTTGCGCAAAGGGTCAAAGTTCAAAATGTCTAACGATGAGCTTTTCCAAATAAAACATATGCTTCTTCCACGTGACTTTGTGACCCTGTATGGTGAAAATTTTGTCTATTTTACGAAATCATCACTCGTTCTTGAGATAATTGGCATAATGGACTTACGCTTACATATTGATCTATTTGTCTGTAAAAGCTCCAGTTTCCTACAGCTTTGTTTTAGACTGCTTTTCGATTAGTTGAGCCACATAAATGCTTGATCTATTGAAAAATATCGAATACGCCGTTCTGAAAAAATTCGGCGTTAGTTAACATGTCAAAATTCCAGCTCTAATTTACTTGGTTCATACCCCTTAGCGAACAATTATGCGAACCTTCCGAGGGGTGTGACAATCTAAATCTCGTTTTTAAATGGTCGAAAAATCTCACACTAGCGAATCAATTTACGAAAAATCTTTTTTCATCTCTTGCATCTAAACAATAGAGCTAATAAACTATAGAGGAAGAATAGCGCTGCCGTCGCTGTCGAAACATCTTTTCCTTACATCCAATAGGGACACAACTGTCAAAGCGAGAAATAACTACGCAGTTTGACAGTTCTGTACCCGGTATTATTCAACATCGGAACAAAGGGAACACCAGCGCTATTCTTCCTCTGTAGTATATTAGCTCTATTATCTAAACCCATCTACTCGCATCGCTCTCCACCTTTTTGCAGGAAATCTTCAAAATCATAATCAATCATGTTTCTATCTATTAAGCACGAGTGCATCTCACAACAGCAATGCAAAAAAATTCCTGCATCTTAGATAAAGTCCCCCCCTCGGAACCTTCATTGAAATTCTGAGAGGTAAAATCTAAAATAAATAAATAAATAAATTTTTTCGCTATTTGGCCTGGAACTTCTCTATAAGGTCAGCAGTAGATTTGTGAAAAAGTCAAAATTGCAGGCTTGTCTATAAGAGTGAATCACTTTCTGTAGATAATTTTTAAACATTATGGTTTTGCTTGTTGCGTGTTTAATACATCAAAATTCGGTGCTAAGAGTAAATTGGAAATAACGTCCTTATTGAATTTCACACCTGTTTAAACCTCAATTACATCCCTATTTTATTGACAAAAATGACATGTTTTCTGAAGCTCATTGTTCAATTATAATTATAAAAAGAAAAGCACAGAAAATCAACGATTAAAATCAGCAAAAACAATGAAACCTTCACTTCTTGGACGGCATAAAGTCAAAGTTCGTCCCTCCGCATTCTGTGGAAAGAAAAACAAAACAATCATAATCCCAATTCAATCTATCAATTCGCATACTAACTATCAGACGCAGTCCAGCCAATGTGTGCCCCCAGACGTTTATTCTCCTCGACCAACCAATCGTGCAGCGGTTGGAAGTACTCCAAAATGGCGTCGGCACTCATCTCTCGCTCTCCGGTCAAAACCTCCATCGCATCCGGCCATTGCTTCGATGAACCCAACGATAGCATCTCCCTAGAAATTCAAATCAAACATTAACTACTTCTCACTAATTCGCTTTCTGCGAACAAACAAAAATCACTTGATCTTATTTCCGGCCTCAACGCTCTGGTAGATGTCGCAATTGTTCAGCGTCTTCTCTGCATCCCCCGGCACGTACTGCCCAGCCAACCGACAAGCCGCCCTGTGAAACTGGAACTGAATCACGTACGACACAAAGTACCGCAGATACTCAACGTCGGCTGACACGTGGTACTTGGCCGGCGGGTCAAAGTCCTCCTCGGTACGCCGGACCGGTGGTTCCACTCCGCTAAACTGGCTCCGCAGCTGCCAGAATCGACAGTTGTACTGGTGCGGTTCGACTTCTCCGCGGAACAGACTCCAGCGATACTTGTCCATCGTGTAGGCAAACGGCAGGAAGACGAACTTGGTGACACCCTGAAATCAATTGAATCGCTGATCAGTATGAAGATCTTGTAGCAAAATTGACCATTCGCATACCGATCGATAAAATTGGTTGATCTTCATATGTTCATCCTCTTCGTAGTCCTTGAGCAGTCCGATATTTTTCAAATGCTTTGGCGTGGAAACCGACAGCGACAACAGATCACCAACGGCTTCGTGGAATCCCGGATTGGCACCTCGACGGTACTCGACCGGTTGGTGCTGATACTGCAGATAGTACTGGATGTGTCCTAGTTCATGGTGAACGACGGAGAACTCGCGCATGTTAACCCGAGTACACTGCTTGATTCGGACGTCATCCGTGGCGAAAAAGTCCCAAGCGCTGGCGTGGCATACCAAATTACGGCCATCGGTTGGCTTCTCCAAGATGCTCTTGTCCCAAAAGTCCCTGAAATCATGGCAGAAATTAGTGAGCGAAGTTTAAAGCGCTTGAAAATCTACGAACTGAGGTAGTTTAGTCATGTTGAGGGATTGGAAGAAGTCATCGCCCATGTGGAACATCTTGAGTGGAGTGTAGCCCTGCTTAATCATCTCTCCGGTCACGTCCAGTAACTTCCTTTCCGGGAACGGTGTCGTAAAGTCGGCGATCTTCAACGGAAAAACTTGATCAAAATACAGAACAACGATCAACTGGGTCAAACCTACATTTTCCCAAACTTGTCCCCACATATTTCCAAGTAAGTGCATCGGAATTGGTCCCTTCTCTGAAACGACATCCGGTCCGTATTTCTCTCGCAGCTTAAACCGAACGTAGGCGTGGATCTGTTCATACAGAGGTCTGATCTGCACGATCACATTCTCGACTTGTTGTTCAAAGGTGCGATCATCGTACTCTTTCAACCAAAGCTCGGCACCGTTATCGAAACCTTTCAATCAAAAAGTCAAATCTCTTATCACTCCCTTAAATCTCCATCTTAACGCAAATCGATTACCATTCAGTCTCGCAAGCTCCTTGGTCAAATCCAGATACTTCTGGAAAGCTGGCTTCGTCGGTTTTCCGGCCTTGTCAAACCATTCAGTCCAGTAGTACTTCAGCTCCTCCGGATCACGACTGGTAGCCATTACCTCCGTGATTTCCGGATCCAAAGTGAGCCTACAATTGGTCTTGTCCTTGTACGAGCAGAGCTTGACCTTCGCATAGTTAGCCTCCATGCTGGCGACCGCTTCGAAAAGCTCCGTAAACTTATCCTCCGGTAGCGCCGCTTTTTCCAGCATCGTCAACTTCTTGAAGCGCCGCTTCAGGTCCTCATTACGAAACGACTGATAATCGTACTGTTGCAGCTCCAGAGCTACCGACTAGCGAACAAAAACGAAACATCAAAACACAAAAGGTCATGAAACGATTGATCAATAGATCGATAGCACAAACAACCTCACACGCCATCATTATCATCGTCAGTAATTACCTTTGCCACCGCGGCATGTTCGGTTGCCGCTTCGATCTTTTTTCGTTGGTTATATTCGGTCAAATTGGATCCAAACGCCCAAGCTGCGTGGGTTTGCTTGGCCAGCGATTCCTGGAAGCGCCTTTCGCATCGCCCCAAAGCTTGCAGGGCTTTGGATTCATTTTTTGGCAGAAGGTCGTTGGACGTTGCTCGGCGTACAATTGCAGCATGGAGGACGCCGATCGTGAGCAACACGATCAAAATGGAGATGCAGTTGGATGGCATCTTCTTGCGGTCATTGGATGATGTGCTCTGAAATTAGAACTAAATTTGTTGACAAACACGAGAAAGTGATAGTGACATGAAGTCTGGTTATCTGTTGCATAATACTTGACACTCCTACTCCTCTTATCAACTGAATTCTTTTTATTTAAATAATGCTTACGCTTGCCACTGTAACACTTAACGATGCGATTTACTTGGATGCTGGATGTGAACTGATCGATCAATCGAGTACATGGTCCGCAACAGTATAAAACAATTCGATGTTTTCGATCCTCTTCGAACTGGGTGTTCATTTTGGAGAAATTGTGATCTAGTGACGAATAAACTACTCTCAATTTTCATTTATTACCATTACAGATTACCATAGTTTAGTACTTCAACTGTGTAGTTCATTACTGTCACGTCATTTCTTTGAAAACAAAATTACATAAAATGAATTATGAAGATCAACTAATGTCAGTTGATATTATAGTAGATATTGCTTCAGCGTTGAATTTCCCTTCCGACACTGACATTCTTAGCAAGCATGATATCAGGCGGTATGGCGATCCAACTGTAGCTGTTCAGAACTGCATCGATCTACCATCCAACTACCGCCCGAGAATATGCAGCTTCATAAGACAGGCCTACTGTGGAGATCTATCTGCATACATCCAGCCACATCTACAACGCGGGAAGCTGCAGCGAACTCGCTCGTTTCATCATTCCTTGCACACAACCTTCAATGGAAAAAGTGTACTGGTTTACGGAGCCACTTGCTGAAATGGCCTACTAATCGATGCCTAGCAGAAACCAACATTAGCTTCTTTCAGATGTTACACTAAAAATCTAGTCGGAATAATTGTAATTCCATACTTTCCATACAGTCTCATATGGAAAAAGTAGACATTGAGAAAATGGCAGTCGAAGCTACGAAGTGCGATTCCCAAGTAAATATATTTGAAAAACCACAGTAAATTTATATGCGATTATAGGCAGAGTAGTTTCCAGTAACTTTTTTTCCGTGATTTGTTTTCCGTCGATCTTGTTTTCCGTACTGAGCACCAATGCTACCGACGCCAGGGAGGCAGCTCCCGCACCTGGACCCTACCTATCGACCCATCAACTCATGAACCGGGGACCAACGGCTTTACTTCCCTTCCTTAGCCTCAGAACATCCCGGTGGCGCCGACTGGGATTGAACCCAGGCCTGCTAGGGTGAGAGGTAATCACACCATCGGTACCGCTTCCAGTAACTAGTTGCTTCTAATTATTTTAATCTACTTAATTTGTGTTGTTTATTTAAATATCCAGTTATGTTTTTGTCCAGAAACCGCTTCCTAAATATACAAAATACAAATTACAAACAGGGTGCCTTCCATTCATTTTGGCTAAACATATGTTTTATGATATTAAGGAATACTAAGATATTATGATGATATCACAGACAAACAGACGTAACTCTTTGAATAAGTTTTTCTTGAAAACATTGTACCTCAATAAATAGGCCATCAGTAACGACATCTCTCGGGCTTCTCGCGGAAAATAAGCTTGCTCGCTATGTCGCTAACAATGTTACATACAAGATAAACAGAATATATGGAAACGTCAAAGTTCCGATGCCAGCGCTGCGGTGAGAAGTTTCGCAAATGATAAATTGATAATATTCAAATCAATCGTTAAACGCGTGAACGATGTCCCACAATTAAGTGTTACGTTTGTTTGTCTGCGATCATATGTTGTTTGTGTAAGCAACAAGAAAAGATTGTAATGTTTGTGTTTGACAAATAATACCTGCCAATTTAGCTACATAAGAGTCGCAATAAGGGATTTTGTCAGGTTTATGTGTCAAACACAAACTTTACAAAATTTTCTTGTTACTTTTGCCTCGGATACACTTGAAAGACAAACTATGAACATGATTATTATGTGTATAATATATTATGAGTATATCCATGGTGACACTTGTATAGTTTTTGTATAGTTGTTGTATAGTGCTCATAATTATTATACAAATAATGTTCATGCTCATAGTTTGTCACCCAAGTGTATCCGCGGCATTACACAAACAAAATATCATCATAATATCTGATGATCCCATAATTCCATACAACATTGTTCTAGTCAAAATGAATGGAAGGCACCCTGATTACAAATTGATATTTTACAGCTCATGTTTTCAACCGTTAAATTGAACAGCACGTATTCGTTTCCAAATTCACCCCAAACGAGACAGCGTCATCTCACCACTTCGGAATTCCGCTTCGCTATAACGCTTCACACCACAAGTCACGCTACAACGCGCGCGTGACATCCGCAAAAAACATCACCACTTCCAGTCGCCCCTCGCCGTATTTTCATTATACTTTTATTTTGATTCCTCGCCGTCACTGTAGTAGTGCATTCATTCATGCCCACGATTCGCATTTGTGTAAGTGCCATTCCATCACACACTGCTGCTGCTGCTGCTGTTTTGATTTTCGGCGAATCACACCCACACATCAACCTGTACGGACGGAGTTTGCTCCCACACCCTCGCAACCAGGTCCCGTTTTCTACGAATGGATTTCGGCTTTCGATCGACATAACAGCTATGCTGTGTGTACATTCAGGATGATGAGGTTGTATGTACAAATAAAACAACACAATCATGTTCGCTACTCGTTTCTCATTGCATGTTTGCATGCTTTTTTCATCCATCGCGCGCAATGTTGGTGTTTGCGGAAGGGTTGCCGGATTGCGAGTCATTTTCCATCTCGGCCGGATTGAATGTTTCAGAGTAGCAATTAATTGATCCAATATTGTTTATCAATATTGGCGTCTTGCAGTGAAACTTTTCCAAGCTTTCGCCACCTACATTTCGAAGTGAGAACTACTAGAAGGAGTATAGTTTCCAAATTTTCCAAGTAAAGCGTCTGGCAAATTGGTTTATAAAGAAAAAGTAATAATTTCCGGTGGAAACTTTTGCTTGAATCGTGTAAGAAAACGTGTTTGAAAACTATTTGTTATTATTTCGGTATGGATCGGAGATGTTTTCATGGCAAATTATGCATAACAAGTTTGCACCCACAGGGAGAGGCTACCTCCTGCGCAGCTGCATTTTTCAGAAAATGGTAAATATGTGCGATTTTCACTAAGATGAAAGTTGAAATTAAATGAATTTACTTAGGAAAGGTTGTATCATGCTGGTGGTAATAGAGAATTGGTTGTATAGGACGCCAATATCCAATAAATGATCATTTTGGCCTTTTTTAAGCAAACATATTGATACTCACAATTTTCGACGGAAAACGCACCGGAACTTGATTTACTCAACACGCACCATGCTATAAAATGGTGCTAGATGGTATTCAAAGTGATAACAAGATGACAAATCATCTTTATTTTGAGTAATTGAGCATTTTACTTCTGTTTACCATAATATTTACGATGCAGCATTGATGGAGCCGTGAAATGAAATTAATATATCTTATGAAAGTTCACCTGGAAAAGTCAAAGATGCACATCAGTCTGATTGTAAAAACGTTTTCTTCTTCAATTCGAATGTTATATTGGAAGGATTTCACGCAGGCTTGATGAAAATTATGATTTAATGCTAACGTTCACGAATTTTATATGCAGTCTGTCAACACTATCATCATCATGCAGTTGCGACATCTGCGTTGAGCTTTTGCGCCAATCTTCCAATTGGAGATTTAATACACCTTAATTTTAGGAATTTTAAATGAAGATTGATTCAAATTAAATTTGAACCATAAATTTGAGTGGGATAGGCCGCGAGTCACTTTTATTTTATTCTGGATAGTTTGATTAAGTTTTAGAGAGAAATATACACTTCGAAACTAATCAAGAGAAGTTTTTTTTATCTTACCCGAACAATTTGGGGAGGAGAGTTAATCTTGCTTTGATTCTATGGTAGTATTTCACTAAGTTTTTTTTTCTATATCAAGTGCATTTTGATCGCGAACGAGCTTTCGTAGTGCGCAATTCGATAGAGCTTCCCTAATAAAATTTGTATGGTTATTTTGCTTAACGACGTGTTTGGAGTATCATCCAAACCATTTGTGGAAAAGTTCGACAATTTGAGTTATCGTTCGTTTATGGTATTTTTTATTAGGGTTTGCAAACACGATCTGGGTTTATGTATGTTTTTGGAATTTAGTCGGTACGGACGTGAAATCTTAGAATCTCTATAGTATAGTTAGTAGAATATTCAAGGAGGAAACCAACATGTATCAACTTGCCAACAAAGGCTATCACATTTATTTTGGTGTTACTCTTTAAGTAATAAGCTGTTTTTTTCTGCTGTTTCACGTGGCGTTCGGAACTCGCCCGGTTTTTGAAACTCACTTAGTTAAGATATGTTTTACTTAAACATATTTACTGATTCAATCAGAGTACTACGTGGGCACGCAATTACCTTTAAGTCCAACGCAGGCAACGGCTGTAATTAAATTAATTCCATTAACTACTGCTTAGCATTAATTACACAATGTAGAACTTTAACTACTTTTTAACTCCATTAATTACGGAAAGATAATTTTATTTACGTCAGTACTACTTCAAAACGCATTAATTACTTTAAGTAATATCCGGGAAAAAAACTTAACGACAAAGTCTGACAATGACTTATTTCTTTAGGTTGCCGTTCACTTTTTGACCGGAATATGTATCGTAAGCGAATTATTTCCACTTCTCTCAATTTCTATAGGGAGATTTCTATAATTTCCTACCAGTGAAACAGTGCCATCTATGTGTAAGATGGCCTAACGATATGATTCATTGATAGTTCCGTTATAGTACGGTAGTGTGAAAATTGTATATACACCCAACCGGGGGATGTGAGATTCGCTTAAAATTATGTGGGATTCATCATCAGAGGATGTAAGTGGAGACCACTTGAACCGAGGATGCGATATACCTAGCTGCGTTCCAATGGAAGAAAATGGAAAGAGAAAAATGTTAAATGTATCATTGAGTGAAATGAATCATGCTGGACCGAGGGACTCGAACCACGAACGTTGTGATTATCAGACCTGTGCTTTACCACTTCTCTCTTCATGCTTCTGAATATGGATAGCCTAAAGCATGAGCATGAGCATGAGCATGATTGACCGCCCACGGTTGCTACTCTGTTATTGCCAGACCAGCTGTAATTACACAGAGAACCAATAGACGATGCTTGGGACTAGTAATCATTCTCAATGTGTAAATACTGGTGATCTCGAATTAGGCAATACCAGCGCCGGCCGCGCCCGAAAACA